TACATGATATAGCGGTTTGGTTTGATTTTTTAAATTATTTTTTGATTTTTTTGAAAAAATATAAATAAATTTGACAAAAATAAATTGTTTGGTTTGATTTTCCAAATGGTTGTGGAAGAATGTGGCACCTCCCAAAATTAAATTTTTTGGTTGTTAGCTTGGAGGGGCAGAGTGCAATCGATCTTACATCAATTTACAAGTGATTATGTACTTATATGCAGACTATAGCATCCCGGTTTACCCTTTTGTACAGTGATCCGGACATGTGTCCGTGATGTTGGTAGTGTTTATTATCTTGTTGCATCCTTTTTACTTCGTTTAATTAGTAGGATGTGTTGGCAGGTTTTGTTACAGTTGGTGAGTTTAGAAACAAAAACTAGTTGCCCAATTTTGACCTGTCCGCCTCGAGTGGGTGTTGGCGCTCTACGATTGCACCCATCAGTATTTTCGATTCCAGTGATGAGCCGAGCGTGGATATTGGCCCTCGAGCGGGTTGTGTGCATGCCGCTCGAGCGGGGATTGGAAGCTTTCGAGGCGGAGACCTGGTTCTAGTAAAAGTTCTGGATGTGTATCCGCCGCTCGAGCGATGTTGGCGCTCGAGCGGGTCTGTGAGTGACGACTCGAGGCGGGGTGTTTGTGTCGAGCGGGTCAACTGGTTTTATTCCGTGTTTTGACTTTTCAAATAACTTTTTCCTTTCTCTTCTCTCTCCTACTTTTCAAAAACACCATTGTTGAGCCTCTCACTCTAGAACTCTACCTTCTCTCTAGGTTTTGATCTATAGGATGATTTGCTCTCACCTTTGGCCTTTACAAAAGAGTTGTTGATCTCGAGGGCTACTTATTAATGCTGAAAAATTTCGAGATTTGGAGCACGTTGGTTTTGTTCTCTCTCCCTTGGAGCTCCGAATTTTGAGTAGGGATATTCCTACTCCTCTCTATGGATTTGGCTTTAAATTTGTATTTGAGATGTTGGGGTTGTATTGGTAATCTTGTGAAGATTGGGGCCTTTTGTGTTATTTTTACAAAGAGTTGGGGTTTTTTATAATAAAACCTAGATTGTATGTGTGGATATAGAGAATGGATAAAATGTTGAATCATTTGATGAAAATGGGACCTAAGGTTGAAATTGGTAATTTATGGAAAAATGACCTAATTACATTTTGATTAATTGAGATAATTAATTGTGAGAAAGAGAATTGACAATGGAATTTTGAGATTGGGAATGTGTAGGGTGTTAAAGGTGTAGTGAATTTTATCACAACGGAATTGAAATGTTTATTGAATATCATTTGCATTATTTTCTGTTTTAGAAATAATTGTTTTGGGGCTATCGTCTGGAGGATAGTCGTGATTGTTGTAGACAATGCATTGATGATTAGGCAAAACGGAAACAAGCAATGCGAATGTGTCATGGAATTGACGGTTGATGAATACATAAACGTATGTTATTAAGTGATTGTATATAGAACCCAATGTTGTTTGTATACGTTATTGTGTAGGGAGATGGGATTACTCCACGGTTTAGGGAAGATGGGGATTTTTGGTAACCCTGTTTCTTTTTAAAAAAACCGGAATAGTGTTGAGAGATAGGGGATGAACTCCGTTATACAGCTCATAGCTGTCTAGAGAAGGAAGATAGAGCTCATATGCTTATCTTTGTGAAGTGTGGATACAGCTTATATGCTTATCTGTGAATATGGGATATTGTTGTTATACATATCCGTTGAGAATGTGGATATAGCTTATATGCTTATCTGTGAATATGGGATATTGTTGTTATACATATCTGTTGAGAATGTGGATATAGCCTATATGCTTATCTGTGAATATGGGATATTGTTGTTATACATATCTGTTGAAAAGATGATAGAGCTAACATGCTTATCTGTTGAAAAAGAGAAAATAAAAGGTAACTTGGACTCATAAGTCGTATGACATAAATATATGATTTATGTGAATGTACCAGTGTTGGCCATCTATCAATTGCTAATCTTTTAGTCATTGTTCATGGTTGGTTTAGTGTATTTCTACTGGGCTGTGGCTCACCCTATATGGGAATATCATTTTCAGGTACAGGTAGTATGCCACCTCCAAGGACATAGCTTGGGAGGCTAGAGGCGGACATACTTTTGTCGTTTTACTTTTGATGTATTACATGTAAATTCAAGCCAAGGGCTTAACGTGTAAATGAGTTAGTACTCTTCTGTTGTAACCAAGTGTTAACTTGGAAAGCTGTAAGCCCATAGGGCATTTGCTTTTGTTGTTAACATGTAATACTTTTGTAATGAAACTCTGATATATGGAAGAATGTGGTTATTTCTTATGTCAACGAATGTCTCATTTGATGGGTTTAATGTTGTTATTTTGAGGGCGTTACACAGACACCTGCAATAAACTATGTCCTAAAGTATGGATTTAGATAGTTAACAACTAAGTGGAAACTTTTAGCGAAACCCAAATGAAAATAAATCCTAAGAATTTTTAATGATATTCTGGGTGCCTGACCCCAAATACAGTGAAATAAACCAAACGAAACTAAATCAAAATATTTTTTTTGAATAAAATAGAGTCAAAATTAAATATTTTGAGAGAACATGATCTTTTTATTTATTATTTTGAAGTCAATAAAAAAAATTTAATAAAATAGAGTCAAAATTAAATATTTGAGAGAACATAATATGAATTTCAATGAGGAAAAATTCCAATTCATGAGTAACGTAATATAAATTATCGGTTTATGAGTAACATAACTAAGAGTTTGTTTGATATTTTTTTAATGAGGAAAAATTATTAGGTACTCTTGGAAAGTCATGCGTTTATGTTTTTCACTAATCATCCATTGCCTTTAAGTAAAAATTGATTTACTGACCTCTTAATTTATAAATAATACGACTAAAAACTTGTTTGATATTATTTTTTTAATGATTTTTTTGACTTTTTTATAAGTTAAAAAAGTTAATATGAAATTGGGTTGCTTTTTAATTTTTTTTAACGGGTGATAAACATAATTTTTTTTTATCAATTTTTATTTTTTAAAAAGCTATTTTCACAAAATAAGGTAATGTTTTTTGGGTGAATACAAAATAAGGTAATATTCCTTACAGTGTACCATAATATCTATACAAGTGATTGGACTTACATATTTTCGTAGGTTAGTATTATTTGGGTGAGTGGCAAATCGAAAATAAAATTTATCTACTTTGTTCTAGATTATGCCAACCAATTGATGTAAAAACTGAATAAAAAATTGAATATACAACCATAAAGTCAACAATTCATGCTATGTATATTGTTAATTATGTGTAACAAATAAAGAATACTCTAACTGTATATATGATTAAAGCAAATTGACTTTAACACATCAACTTCATATATAACATATACAAAATGAAAAACATTATACAAATTAATAAATTTTATAAATTATTCTTAATAATTGATATATCATGTACTAATAAAATTTTTAAAATTAAAGCATGAATTATTTTAATGGTGTAATAGGTGTTATACTAGTAGTTAATTTTTTTTTATAATAAAAATTTATTAATATATATAACATTATCAATTTAAAATAGGGATAATTGGTGAAAAGTCCACACTCATGGGGCCATATGTTATTTGGTTCATGAAAAATTCCAAATTCCAATTCAAACAAACTCTTAGTTATGTTACTCATAAATATCTCAATTCATGAATTTCATAATATGAATTTCAATTCTCAATTATCAATTATATGAATTTCATAATATGACATTAACAATTATCAATTATATGAATTTCAATTTTTTTAATTTTATTCTTAATTAAAAAAAAAATTACTTTTAAAACCCTAATTTCCTTTTAATTCCTCTTAACAAGCAAAAAATAAAATTTCCAATTCGACAAATATAGGTTGATTTACTCACAATTCAAAATTCCAAACCCTAATTTCAAAAAATATAGACATTTTGATTCACAAGCATAATTTCAAGATTCTAATTTCTGATTTCAAATTTCAAAATATAGACATTTCATAATTCCAATTCAACAAATATAGGTTAGTTTATTCACAAGCATAATTTCTGATTTCTGATTCATAAGCAAAATTCCAAACCCTGATTTTTTATTTTAAAAAATTCCAAATCCTAATTTCTGATTTCAAAAAATTCCAAACCCTAATTTCTGAAACCACAAGCATAATTTCTGATTTCACAATTCAAAACCCTAACATTTTATGATTGCATAATTTCATAACCACACTGATAAAACCCTAACACATTACAACCCTAACACATTTAATAATTGGCATTTAGAACCCTAACATTCACATTTTCACAAACACACATTCACATTTTCACAAACACAATAAATAAATACATAAAATTCAAATGATACAGACAAAGCTAGGTGCCATAGCACATAGAGAGAGAGAGCAGAGACAGAGACAGAGAGTGAGAGTAGAGGAAGAGCGAGAGCGAGAGCGACAGTGAGAGTCTAAGAGCAGAGCGAGATCGAGAGCGAGAGAGTCTGAACAAAGGGAGATCGAGAGCGAGAGGTAGAGAGTCTGAGAGCAGAGAGCAAGAGACGAAAAAACGTAAGTGTAAAAAACGCAAATGAGGTGTTTTATATAACTTTTAAAAGCGTGGTTTCAATCCACGCTTTTATTTATCAACAGTGTGAAAGCGTGATTTCAAATAGCGTTTTCTGAAGAAAAAATAATGCACAGTGAAAGCGCTATTTCAAATAACATTTTCTGTGAAAGCGTGATTTCAAATAAAGTGCGATTTCAAATAGCATTTTATTCAGAAAAAAAATTTATGTTAAAAGCGTGATTTGAAATCACACTTTCTTAATTAAAAGCGTGGTTTACAATAACGCTTTTACTATTCATCACTTTTTGAACTTTAAACAGTGAAAGCGCGATTTATAATAGTACTTTAGTCTAATTTGAACATTCCGTCCAAAATAGGCCTAACATGAGAATTAAGATACAAAATAGACTTAATTTGGCAAAAGCCCCTCAAATCTTCTACTTATCAGTGAGTGAGAGAGAGAGAGAGAGAGAGTGAGTGAGTGTGTGTGTGGGAGAGAGATGGATGCGCTAGTGAAAGTACCGTATGATGCTACAGCGCGGCTGATGGTAGCTTCGCTGGAGCGCAACCTACTACCGGACGCAGTGATAAGGAGGCTCACTCGCCTTCTATTATCCACTCGTCTCCGTTCCGGTTACCAACCCTCTTCCGACCTTCAACTCTCTCACCTCCTCCATTTTGCCCATTGTAAAAAACTCTCCTTTTACTCTCTCTCTAAATGTATTTATCTTGTTATTTCTGTTGTAATGTGAGCTAGTGTTGTTGCAATCTAATAATATAATATAATTTTTGTCCTCGTTGTTCAATTTTAACGTTGAGTTTTTCTCAAATTAAGGGTTTTTACTCAAATTTCTAAAGGCTATTTTGTGGATGGTGACATGTCAATTTTTAAATTTACCACTCTATCACTTACCAAGCTTTTAATTTATATTCTAATCTGAGTTTGGAGTACTCTACATAAATTGAGCTTTTACCCAATTTGTTACTTTGTTTCGAATAAAAGGAGATGGCCAAATTAAGAAACTTTTGTGAAGTTTGTAACATTTTCTTTCTTCATTTGTTGCAAATTGCAATTATCAATTATGAATTGCGCGAATTAAAGCATTTTCTGATGATTGTTTGATGGTGGGATAAACATTTTTTTGATTAACATGGTATAACTGTATCCATTAATTAGACAAAGTTTATTTGTGTATGTACTTGTTACTTCCATTGAATAAATAGTTCACATGGTTCGTCTCTGAGACTACTTCAAACACCAGTTCACAAGGAAATAGAGTGTCTTATTTGTGGTTCGGAAGCAAGATATGCCTGTAGGGCTGTCATTAGTGTCGGCGGACATGTAAAAGTGCTCAAAACATTAACTTGTTTTTTGTTATGATTTGAGATGTTTTTCTCCATTCAGTTCACGTATGTGGTGTTAGTGGGTTAGTGGTGTCTTAATTAGACAAGCATGTTTTAATGTTTTTAGCTATTACAAAATGTAGCAGAAAAAGTTTGGTATTAATCTAAGAATGTCAAGAGTTACTTTTGAACTCTATATATAGCCTTGTAGTCTAACGTTTAGAAATATGAATGAATGAAAGAGTTCTAATTTATCTTCTAATTCTCTTCCAAATTGTGTGAGTGAGTGAAACATAGTTCTCTTGTCTCTGACAATGTAGTATCAGAGCGAATATGATCCTAGAAGTGTGTATAGGTCATTGTGGTACAGTGATTGTGGAAGAACAAGAAAGACGTACAATTGATGTGAGGAGTTGATATTCTCTAATTACAAGAGAACGATGATGGTTCTTACTTCAAAGCTTGTTACCTATGGGATGTTGTTTAAGAAGAGCCAATGAATGATATGTGAGAAAGGTTTTGAGAGGGAAAAAAAAGAAAGAAAAAAAGAGAGCATTTTCAATTTTGCAAAGAGCGATTCACCAAGAGATTTGGAAGGACTTTGTAGAGACAAAATCTTTGAGTCATGTTTGGAAGTTGCTCGGCCCTATTGCCTTTAATCTATGAAGCACAAATACCTCTCCACAAGTCAAGTACCAGTGTCCGACACGTGCTGGGCACAGACACGCTCCGAACAAGTGTTGGACACACTAGAAGGAGTGGGACACATTGAGACACGTGGGGGACACGGTGGGACCCCATTTTTTAAATTTTTTTCATCAAAATAGCATACCTAGGTTGATGAATTTGATGACAATAAATATTTAATATAGAATAAATATATAATATTAAAAAATATTACATAATAATTGTATAAAGTTATATTCTTTGCGTGTGTCCCTTACGTATCGTGTCCTACATTTTTGAAATTTTCCATGTCCATGCTTCTTTGCCTCTAATCGTCAAGGAGTCCTTTTTCCCATTGAGTATTGGGTATAGTATTGTGAAGAAGACGAGTTTAGAAAGAAAAGGGTGATTTTTAAGACACACCATTGGAGGACGGAGAAAAGTATCATCCCATTGGAGTTAAACAACTTTAGGAGGCCAAAGTTGAAGGAAAATTTGAAAAAGAAGGCAAAAAGGAAGAGATGAATGATGAAGTTGAAGAAAGTATCATCCCATTGGAGTTAAACAACCTTAGGAGGCCAAAGTTCAAGGAAAATTTGAAAAAGAAGGCAAAAAGGAAGAAATGAATGATGAAGTTGAAGAAAGGTTAGAATTTAATTGAAAATGAAAATGGATTTTGTAAAAATTCTGAAGTTAAAGAAAAGGAAGTTGTGGAAATTGAGTTGAGGAGTGTGAAGAAGAAAATCAAGAGGTTCATGTCAACCAAGTCATAGAACTAACACTTTCAAGCATGTCTACTTTGAAAGGGGAACCCCGTATTTGACTTATTTTCTATCTATGAAAGTGAAAAGATGTTCATTCGCTTATTAAACTTTGATCAAGAAATTGGTAAGTTCAATCGAGTTTACAATGGTGGACTTGAGTCTTATAAGTAGTGATGTGCTGTTTCATTGAAGTATGAGAATAAATATCAAGAAGTTAGGTTTATAGCAGTTGGCATTTGCAAAGTAGTTTGGAGAGTTCTATTTTTGACTTAGGCTGAGTGGATGTGGAACATTTTTTTTTTTATCCTCAACAGCAAACAAAAGCAAAACTCAAGAAGCATAAAAATTCAAGAATAAAGATTGATAGAATGCCAATGTGAAGGAAAAACTATAAATTTTTTATTCAAATGCACTATACAAGCATGTGAAGAAGAAACGCAAGAGTGTTTATAGAAAGATCAAATTCAAGATTCACACATCTATGAAGATGGCTATAGAAATTGTTGCTATTGATGGTAGTGGATTTCAAAATGATATCAATTGTTGCTATACAAATATATGTTTTTTGCAAATTTAGGCGTTTGCTTGGATTTGGAAAAATCAAGTTTGATGGTGTTTATGTTTTTCTACATATAGTTCATGCATGTGATGGTGTTAGTGGGTTGGTGGTGTGTTAATTTTGCAAGTGATGGTGGAGTGGTGTGTTAATGTTTTTAGTAATTACAAAATGTAGAGAAAGTGGGTGTTAATCTAAGAATGTCATGAGTAACTTTTGAACTTTATATATGGCATTGTAATCTAACTACTTGAAGTATGAAAGAATGGAAGAGTTTTGATTCTCTTCAATTTTATTTTATTTTCAAATTATGTGAGTGAGTTTAATATAGTTCTCATCTCCAACAAAAAGTGTATTGAAATGTGTGAAAAATGTATAGAACTACAAGAAAGTTCTGTCAAATGTGCTAAAATAACTTAAGAATCTTTTACTTTTTTAGTTTTTTCCATTTTCTCCCCTTAATTTTTTTGGTTTGGTGAGAATTGGCATTTGTTTTGGGGCAAAACTTTGCTGCAGTCATGGGGGACATTAACATTTTGTGAAATTTGATGCGTCTTTTTGTAAATATTACATTTAGCATCTAGGCAAACTCTTTATAATGATCGGTCTTGATTTTGGTGAGAATTGGCATTTGTTTTGGGGCAAAACTTTGCTGCAGTCATGGGGGACATTAACATTTTGTGAAATTTGATGCGTCTTTTTGTAAATATTACATTTACCAAAAGCTAATATCATTAATTGATTTTAGCCATAAGATTTCATACCAAACAATTTCATGCTCGGAATACTTTCAAAATGTTCTGAACTAAATGTTTGACAAATCAAATGGTCAAAGAACTTAAAATATATTTAGTTTTCTTTTTATGATTAGCATCTAGGCAAACTCTTTATAATGATCGGTCTTGATTTTTTAAAGTAAAACAAAAAATTGCATAAATAAGAATGAAGGACATGATTGTACTATTTCTGACACTAGCAAACTCAACACTTGTTTTAGACTACAATGTGCTCATTTGTATGCATTTTGATTAGTTGTTCCTCTCTTGCAGCTTTGAGAGAAATGCCTATAGCCATCAAGACTGAGACTGCAAAATCTCAACATTATGAACTACCTACCTCTTTCTTCAAACTTGTTCTTGGAAAGCATCTCAAATACAGGCAAATAATTTCTATACTTTGGCATTTATCTTCTTCTGTGGCTTGTATGTCTGATATGTATCACTTAGAAAAATATTTTTTATAATGTGATGGCACTGAACATAGGTTTTTTGTTCTCATTTGAACATGGGCAAACAAGAGTTTTGCTTGATTTTGAAATGCTGTTAAGGTATTTGCTAAATGCTAGAAAGCATCCAATGATGAGAATTGGGGCAGAGTGGTAACATAATTATTTCTGGATTTTACCTAATTTTGCTGCTAAGTGAATTATGATATAGAAGGTGAAGGGTTATGGAAGAAGGGGTAGGCTACCTGGGAATTAGTAGTTCTTTGATCTTAATAACCAAAATTGCAGGTGCTGAAGGATGTATATATGCATGTACATATGTATGTGTGTATATATATGTAAGTGTATATATTTATATATATGGCTTAATATATCATTAAATTAGAAATTAAGTTAAAAATTTTTGATTACTTTTTTGCGTTAATAAGCTATAGAATTGGCAATTAGGTTAAAATGTTTGTCTTTCAAATCTGATTCATTTTGCAGAGAGGGGATGAAAACATTAAGGGTATATAGGTCTTTTTGCAAATAATTTTACTACGAGTTAGAATAGCACTTTAGTAGAAAACCGCATGGGAGTCTCCTGCCTGTATTTAAAGCATATGGGGGTAAAGTGCTTCTGAGGTAAACCACAAGGGGGTAAAGTGAATTTTACCCCCCAAAAAATCCTCAATGGCTTCATCTGCACCCGTACTTGAATCAATGGGGTGAGCATGTCACCTAATAGGGATACAACTAACAAGTCTAATATGCTAAACATGTGGCATGTGAACATGATGTATTCCGTATATAAAAATAAAGATGTTACCATTTTGAAGTCCTTTCTCATACTTAAGAGACAACCTTAACACGGGAAACCCTTCGGGATGTGTACCATATGCACCATGCTTTTTTTTTTTTTTGGGTAGAATTACGATAATTTGTGGTTCAAAGTTGAAGTTACACATTGTTGTGGTAATGTTACCCATTTTGTGGTTAAAATATGTTTGGATAAAAAAAATGAATAATATTGCCACAAAATGCGTGACTTCATTTTTGAACCACAAATTGTTATAATATGCTAAACATGAGGCATGTGAACATGATGTATTCCGTATATAAAACTAGAGATGTTACCATTTTGAAGTTCTTTCTCAAACTCAAGAGACTACCTTAACACGGGAAATCCTTCGGGGTGTGTACCATATACACCGTACTTTTTTTTTTGGGTAGAATTACGATAATTTGTGGTTCAAAGTTGAAGTTACACATTATTGTGGTAATGTTACACATTTTGTGGTTAAAACATGTTTGGATAAAAAAAATGAATAATATTGCCACAAAATGCGTGACTTCATTTTTGAACCACAAATTGTTATAATTTTACTAGAAAATATATAAACATTTACCACAAAAATGTGTAACAAATACAACAAAAATGGTTAACAACGGTGCGTATGGTAGGGTGTGTACCAAACGGTCCACCTATAACAGATGCATTTCTCAAATCCATTTCATCTCATTTCTCATTTAAAAAAATAAAAAATAAAAAATAAAGCTGAAGACTTCTATTTTCCAAATCAAAACCAACATTACACATTGTCACAATCAACAACTCCTAGGTTGTATACTAAACCAACGATTTTTATACATGAGTCGTTATCCCCTATTTCTCAAGCTAGAACATTTGGTATCTGCGCTGTGTGGGTTTTCAAACTTTTACTGTGGAGTGAATCTAGTCTTGCTTAACATTGTACACTAACCCTGAATCTATGTCAAGGATTCAATTCAAAAACCATTTCAAGGTTTGCCGTTTATTCAATACCATTTCAAGGTTTGCTCATTTTTCTTGAAACCACCATTTCTCGTTTTTATTGTTCAAACCTCAACACATTTGCCCGAAAGCCCATTTCAACTTTCAAAACTCCATTTTCCAATTTACACCCGTAATATAATCATTCCTCAACATTTAAAAATACAACACAATATCATCTAAAATCGTGTCATTTTCTCAAATAACAAAAAATTAACATGGTATTGATAATGTAATTATAAACCATATCATTTTCATACTCAAAAACATATCAATTTCATCGCGGGGTAACAATACCCAAAAATCCCCTTTTTAATATTGAACTTCTCTAAACTTGGGGCATGCAATTCACAAAGCTATAGACTACTTTCCCACACATAACTCAAATCAGACATATTAAACTAGTAGTCAAGAAGCTCCTACCTCAAAAGGAAGAGAGAGTGAAACCCTAGGATTGACATCATTGAAAATAGACTTGGCTTGGATCAAATCGATGCCCTCGACGAGTGGATCAACTTCTTTTTTTTTTTTTTGGGTGTAGTGAGAATCGAACTCCATGACCTCCAAATCATATCAGTAAGGTTTATGTTTATGGGTGTTAGATATAAAGAGAGAAAATGTGAGGTGAAGTGATGTGACCTAACCCCTAAATATAGTCTAAGCCAAGAAGTGGCATTGGGCCCCACAAAATCTAACAAATCACAACTTTTTTGTGCATAAAAAATACACTGATCACTCAAGCAGTCTCACTATCGGTTGAGATATCAACTCCAATGTCCAAAGAGAAATGGCAAGGTAGTGTGCCACCACCCGAGCAATGACTTAGACCCAGTCACACTAACTTAGTCCAAATACATGCACGCACACCAACAACTCCACACGTCAACTAACAAGTGCGCAAGAAACACAATTAAAACTTGTAAACCAATATATAAATAGCAAAAGATATCTGAGTCATTACATTCTCACCTCTTTAGGGAATTTCGTCCCCAAAAATTGACATACAAAATCGAGGAGTAAAAAGATCCGAGTACTTAGAAAAGATTGTAGTCCTCCAAGTACTCCATCCATCGTCTCCAACACAGATTCAGAACCTTTTGAGAGAAAAGATACTTCAAGCTCCTGTGATCTGAAAACACCTCGAATCACTTGTACAAATAGTGCCTCCAACTCTTCAATGCAAAGATGATTGTTGCTAGCTTTAAATCATTTGTTGGATGTTTTTGTTAGTCTTTAACTGACAATAACCGTATGCCATAACCTTCTTCTGATGCATCAATGCACGTTTAAAAATGTGTCACAATAAATCATGCCACTTGGACCTCACTCCAGAATGATTAAAATTGGTTCTGAAGTCAATCTCCCTTTCAACTCGTAAAAACTCGCTCACAATCATCGTTACACATGAACTTGATTCCCTTCAATTTAAGTCGAGTCCTAGGTGCTGCAAGACATGAAAAATCCTCTACAAAATGTGTCGGCCACGGTCACACTTCTTGTACTTTGTATAAAGTCAATGCTCCCATAGAATTTACAACACATTCCTGAACTGCTCTTCATGCTATTCTTCTGATGGTGAATAGATCAATTTGTCATCCATTGACCACAAACTGTTCAAGATAAGCATGAAAAATCTGGTTCATCAAGTCCATGAACAATGTTGGCATGTTCGTCAAACGAACATCATCATAAGAAACTCATAGTGCCCTTACGCAATGTATAAGGTGTCTTCACAATGTCCTCCTTTGTGATCCTAAACTAATGGTAACCCAATCTCTAATCAATCTTAGAGAAGTAACTCGATCCCTTCAGTTGGTCAAACAAACCATTGATCCTCAACAATGTATACATTCTTAACCGTCACCCAAATCAATGGTCAATAGTCAATACACAAATGGAGGCATTTGCAGTTTGTTTTCATTTGTTTTGAAGTTGTGTTGGCTTACAGGTGAATATTGGAAAAAGTGAGCTTATTCCAATGGGACACATTCAGGGGTTGGCTAATTCACTGAGTTTAGAAATGGGAATCCTCCCAAGTGTACCTTGGGCTCCCTTTGGGTGTAGCTTTCGAGGCAGTTCTAGTTTTGGATGAATTATGAAAAGATTTGAGAAGAAGCTCGCAAGGTGGAAGTGCTAGCCAAAGGAGGAAGGATTGCACTCATTAAGAGTACTTTGGGCAGTCTTCCCACTTATTTCATGTCGTTGTTCTCAATGAGATCTTCGGTGTAGGAAAGATTGGAGAGGCTGCAGAAGGTATGGAGGAGTCTAAACTTCACTTGGTGGGATGGCAGAAGGTATGTAAGCCTATTGGAGAGTGGGCTTGGGCCCAATTTCTTCAGTTTAATCAAGCTTTGTTAAAGAAGTGGCTTTGGAGGTATTCCCTTGAGGTAGATCTATTGTGGTGGAAGGTGATCAATTGTGAGTTGGAGCAGATAGGAGAGGATAGACATCAACTGAGAGCTGTATACTATATGGAGTTGGGATGTGGAAAGCTATCGGAAATGGATAGCTGGAAGTTGTAAAAAATGTGAGATTCAATCGAGATAGGAGCTGGGAGAAGGATTCAGTTTTGGCATGATATTTGGTGTGAAAACGTGCCCGTCTCTATTGCCTTTCCAGATTTGTTTAACATTGCAAGCAACAAGGGTGCTTGGGTAGTGGATTACTTTAAGTTCTCGAGCTCAGGTGTGGTGTGGGAGCCTAGTTTCATTAGACACATGCCAGACTGAGCATTGGAATCTTTGGTGACATTTTTCAGGTGTTGTATGTTATGCGAGTTTTCCCTAATAGACAGGATAGATTGGGATAGAAATATGGCAATGAGACTTTTTCTGTTAAGTTATTATTTAAAAATAAATAAAAAATCTGCGGTGTTGAGGAGTTCATTCCCATGGAAGATTGTTTAGAAATACGGAGATCCTTCTCGGGTGGTCTTCTTTGTATTGGATGCCTAGTAGGTGTTGTATGTGTTGTAAGGCAAAAGAAACAGTGGATCACCACTCCTTTGTTGCCCTGTTGCAAGAGTGCTGTGGGTTTTTTTTTTCTTGATCGTTGGGGCATGTCAGGTCATGCAAAATTGAGTCAATGATGTTCAGGATTGTTGGGGTAGTGATTGCCTGGAGGAAAGATAAAATGATGGCTTGGATGGATGCTCCTTCTTGCCTTACGTGGAGCATCTGGAGGGAAAGAAATTGACTCATTTTTTAAGATTCAGAGTTAAGGATCCATCAGCTTAAAATGGGCCTTCTGCATACTTCATTTTTTGGTGTAAAAGGACTACTTTTTTTTCTTTTTATTTTTTTTTTTGTGTGGATTTTTGCTGACTTTATAGCTGAGCTCAATTTTGTTGTGGAGCTTTTTACATTGTACATGCTTGCACCCTTCGTGGTGTTTTTGTTATAGTGATATAAGTCAATTTCGCCTTTACTTAAAAAAATAAAAATCTCTACTGCGTTTCCAATCAATTTCACTTGATTCTAGCTCGTGGCACTTGAGCTGATCTGGTATACCTCTGAACTGATGCAGCTGTTGTCTCTTCACTGATGCGTCAAAGACCTTAGAGGATGCTGAGAAAGCAATGTTAGAGTTGTACTGTGAGAGGGCACAGATAAAAGATGGTCACTCTGTTCTCGATGTTGGATGTGGGTGGGGATCACTTTCTTTGTACATTGCACAGAAGTATAGTAATTGCAAGGTTACAGGGATTTGCAACTCAACGACGCAGAGAGCATATATTGAGGAGCAGTCTCGGTATGTTCGTAAATAATTTGCCATTATGTTGGACTTCTCATTCAGATTCATTTTCATTTTGACTTGTAAATTTATTTCCTCACAAAAACACATCATCCAGTTGATTGCTTAGTTTAACTGGTCTGTTTTAGTAGACTAGTTTAAGTTGTACGTGATGCTAGCTAAAGATGTTGCTAGCCAATGCTTTCCCAGATATTACCATGCATGCTTCATTTCATAGGGATCTTCAGCTTCAGAATTTGGAGGTCATTGTTGCAGATATTGGCACATTTGATATGGATGCATCCCATGACAGAATATTTTCCATTGAAATGTTTGAGGTATGTTATGCAACTCTTTTCATACCCTAGAGTAAGTAGTAATGTGATGTTTATTCTCAATAGGGTTCAAAATTCTGTTGTCCTTTGAAAACAGCATATGAAGAACTACAGGGATCTTCTTAAGAAGATATCCAAGTGGATGAAACCAGATAGCCTTCTTTTTGTACATCATTTCTGCCATAAAGCATTTGCTTATCACTTTGAGGTATACATGATTTAATTTGATTAAATAGCACTTAATTCATATTGGTAATTCATGTAAAAAATTATATGGGGAATTATATATATATTAGCTAGCTTTTTAGACACGGTGATTTGAAACCTGTGGCATATTTTCATTTTGCAGGATGTCAATGAAGATGACTGGATTACTAGGTACTTCTTCACTGGAGGTACAATGCCATCAGCAAATCTACTTCTTTATTTTCAGGTCAGTTCAACATTCTTTGCAGCTTTTAATTATTTCTTCTGATTTCTTTGTTCTTGTTAGAAGACTTAGTTTCCCACTGTCTTTTGTGGTGCTAACTCCAGAAACAATAATTGGTCATTTTTATCTTTCTTTGTGCACACAAGTCCAATGCATGTGAAAGTACAGTTGTTTCTTCTCAAATAGCAGTGTCACTAATCATATGAATTATGTCTACCTTATGGAATATGTAGGATTTGATTCTCTAGAATGGAATGGAATGGAATGGTCATTCCTTAGCCTTCGTGTAAAATGACTATTCCCTTGCAATTGCGAATGATGATTCCATTTGTAATACATTTTCCATCATTTTATAAGTGAACCAAATGTACATTAGGATGAACTGATTATTCCATGTCACTTCATTCCAGTAAACCAAATAGAAAGAACATTAGGGTACACAATTAAAGCTTGGATGGATCACAAATTGTATAAAAACTTCCCACATGAAAAGAGAAAGGCATTCCCTCATTCATGTCCTTACAGAACCTTTAAGTTTAACTTGGTGGATCTTTCTTGCCTTTGTAAAAGTGGTCAGTCATTGGACATGATTTGGGGTTAGAATGCAATTTGCTGAACAATGATTTGTTAATAATTCAGGGCTAAACCCATTCCCAGGCCTCCAAGCAGACTCTGAAACAGTGAGCTTAAACAGCAGTGCTGATTGTTTGAATTATAGCTCTTGAGACAAGAATTAGCAATGGATGAAAATTTAAGCCAGAGCTTAGAGGAATTTGTGTTATAATTATTATTATTATTATTATTATTTTATGGCGGTTCAATGTGCAGGATGATGTTTCTGTAGTCAATCATTGGCTTATGAACGGGAAGCATTATGCGAAGACAAGGTAATGGTACTACACTTTAGAATTGTATAGCATTATTATACTTCACAGACATTAATTGCATAGTAATTAAGAATCTGTGATGCAAGGGTATTATTATACTTAACAGACATTATATTGTCTTGTCTTGCAGCGAAGAGTGGCTTAAAAGAATGGACAAAAATTTGAGTTCCATAAAACCAATAATGGAGTCAACTTACGGCAAGGATTCTGCTGTCAAGTGGACCGTCTATTGGAGAACATTCTTCATGGCAGTTGCAGAACTCTTTGGGTATAACAATGGTGACGAATGGATGGTTGCACTTTTCCTTTTCAAGAAGAAATGAATTAATTCATGTAATCTCAAAAAACAAAAACAAAAACAAATGCTTCCATTGTTGTTGTAACTTGTATGGGTCATGGATTTTGATTGTAATATGCTTCCATTGTTGTTGTATGTCTTGGATTTTTGTTGTTGTATGTCTTGGATTTTGGTTGGTAACATTGGGAAGTAAAAACAATATTGCATTGCTTGAGATGAATAAGAAAATAATTCCATCAATAATCACGATTTCAGGCTTATTACATTTCTTCTGCCAAATCACGGTTTACAATGTTACATACATACATACATACAATGCAAGATTAAAGATTAGATTCTTTCGTACTAATGTTGGTAGGGGTCTCAACATAAGAACCCACAAATCAATGCAAAAAGTGAGTATTAAATTTCACCTTTAATCCTCTCCTTTTGTCTCTGCCTGCCATGCAGTTCTTAACAGCAGGCCTAAATGCTCGCTACAACACAAGTAAGATCAACCACAGTTCAGAGGCTGATCAGAACTAGTACCCCATTGAACATACAACAAAATAATAGCAGCAGTTGAATTATCGAGGGAGGATTATCACTTGTAACCTTTCAACATATCGAAAGCTAACTGCCCAAAATGAGCCAGTGAGGTAGACAATGGACAAAAATACAGACTACTTGTCCCCAGAGTCAAGCTAGCTAGATTGAGAGCTATGAATTAAACTCTAATTTAATGTTTGCCTGCAGTTAGCTTCAATTAACTCTAATCAACTCTAATTTTTGCCTTCAGAGATTTTGATATTCAATTAACTTCATTATATATATATATGAAGAAGTAAAAAAGGGACTTCCAAATCTGCCAAAATCTCAACATTTGAGCTACCCTACCTCTTTTCAAGATTGTTCAAGAAATGGAACTCAATTACAGGCAAATAGTTCGCATGAGGCAAAATTCAAGTTTGTTGGAGAACTTGGTTGGGTTTCAAACTTAGGTTTGCACATCCGTGGTGACATGACCAATGACCCATTTAGAGATCCCGTTGGTTTGAATTTATACTACCTTATCCTAAGGATAAGTGTGCGTAGCCTACTATGCTTTATATCTATCATATTCACAGAATATATTTTGTATGTGAAGGAGCTGGAATGTACTTCAAAAAGTGATTTTGTTCTGCTGTCATTGCACCTGAAAGAAAAAAAGAGTTTTGATTGATATAATTCATGAATAGAATCCACTGAAATAATATGATAGAAACCATTCATATGAGAATAATTTATAAAATTTGTTAGTTTGCATAGGATTACCCTTGCTATTGATAATAAATTGTGAGAATTGTAGAAAATTGCAAGGTTAGAGGAACTCCAATGAGTTGTTAAAATAGCGTTACACTCAAAATATAGTAGCTTCACTCAAAAAACCTCTAGTGGAATGCTAAAAGAGCTTTGCCAGAAAGTGACATTGCACCAAATTTGGCATAACGTTTGGCAATGTCATTTATGCCAACTCAGCTCACCTAAGGGAGGGTTTGGATCCACTAGTCTGGTTGTGAGAGATCCAATAGACATAAATAAACAATTATCAGTAAAGAAACATTGCCAAAATTAGACATTTTGACATTGTAGCATACCAACTTATAGTTTTGGCATATTTCCATTTTGAGAATGAGCGGAGCTAATCTTAGAGGGATGGATTTGCAACTCAGAAAGGCATAAAGCATATTATGCCCATGATAATTCAGTAATCGTATTTATAGTTTCTTCCACTTCGGCAAATGAATGATATTCTTGATTACTCCCCACATACGCATGATGAAGGTGTGAAAGCCAGACCCAAATGTTCAAACAAAGATTTTATGCTGTCAGCAGCAACCGTGATTTGTCAATTATCCAGAAAAGTGAAACCAGCAAATGAATGATATTCTTGATTGCTCCCCGCAACTACGCACGATGAAGGTGTGGAAGCCTGACCCAAAAGTTCAAACAAAGATTTTATCCTATGTTTTTGCATCATAACATAACATGAACAATGTTTCACAAAAGTGCTACCATATATCCTAAACCATGACACTCAAGTATATTTTAACAAAAGCTTGTAATGCTAGCAAATATTAACTATGCAGGCCAATAAAATCCTACTACAAATTATGTGAATATAATATAGACCCAACTGTCGTATAAGATGACCAAACATGAACAAGTTTGTGAAACTTCCACAAGTGCACCTCACTTCTAAATTTCGTAGAACCATATTGTTTCGTCAACCTTCATTCACAAAAACCAACACCTTTAATCAACTTTGCAAGTCCATAAAAATGTGCCAGTATAGAAGGAAGTGGCAAATCTTAACAACAAGAAATAGGAAAAAGAAAGGACAAGGAAAGAAAAAATTAAGAACATTTGAGTGTATTATCAGACATAATACACAATTGGGTGGCATCAGTAAAGCTAATCTTGTGCTACAACCAGTGCCTATATGAAAGATGTCAAAGATAATCCATCTCCAACAAAAGCAAGGAAAATGAACACATACAGAGACGCACAGACACACACAGATTGTAATGAAGGAAGACAAGCAAGGAAAATGAACACATACAGAGACGCACAGACACACACAGATTGTAATGAAGGAAGACATATTTCAAATTTTCGAATAACAAACAAAAGATGTTAAAATCATACATTAAATTCGATGGATAGTGAAGTGTCCAATGCAACAAAGCCATAAATAAATCAAAGGAAAAAGAAAAGAAAAAAAAAATGCCGAAAAGGAGGAAGTTGACATGTAATTGATCATAGTAAGGCAACAACCAGAACAAAGTGCTCAAGCATGGTATTTTTTGCGCCATTCATCACCATCCAACACTTTTTAAGTATTTTCAGATTGGCTGCATATTCTCATTGGTGTCCAAATGGCTTCCTTGTCATTTTAAATCATTGTTGTCATGTAATAGTGAATCCTCAAAGTTCAGCATCATCGTACCTTAATATGTTATACAATATGTTTACAGGGTGAATTAGTAGGTATTGCTAATATTATCTAACTTATATTCTGAAATCATGTACCTATGCACAATATGATACACAATATGATAAGTTGATTGTTTTTGGCACTTTTGTAACTAGAAGCATATATACATACATTAAGAATAATTTAATAAACCATTAGTATAATTTTAGTTGAAAGGGACATAAGTTTTCAAAGAATGAATTTGCTATTGCCTTTTCCCTCCTATTAAAGATCCATCACCATAATATTTAGAAGGGTAAATTACACTTTGCACCCCAAAGTATGATCCAATTCCCGCTTTGGTCCTTTAGAACTTTTCCCCCAATTTGGTCCTTGATTTGTCCCAATGTGACCCAATTAGTAACTACGGTCCAATTATTGGATGGACAATGACCACATGCAAGACATGTGACTTATAATAAGGAGCATTAATTATATACATAATGTACATTATGTAGTATAATTTTACATGTATAATACCATATGCGTGTATGTATGATTATACAAATATTCTAATTTTCTGTCTCCTAAAGCCCACCACCACCACAATGCAGACCCTCTCCAGTATAGGGTCTCTCTTCCTCACAAGTTCTATCCCAAACATCAAACATACAAGGCCAAAGATCAATCAAAACTTAAGAACTTCATTAAACACACCACCTTAGATTTGTTTGAAGTTGAATCTTTCACCATTTTTGCCTATTGAGAGGTTAAAGAACACAATATCTCTCCATCACTCTCTCATTGCCCTCTCTATCTATATATATACACACACATGCATATGTACATATGTGTTACTCCACCACCACTCAACATTTAGAACCATTTTATTTCTAAAAAAATCAAATTCATTACAAACAATCAGAGTTACCAAAACCCAATGATAGTTTTTTTTTTTTTAGTGGCACTTTTCAGTTTGATGGGGGTGTTGTATTGTTGTCGTTGCCGTTGCCGGTGGAGTGGGTAGGCTAGGAGGGGTGGAGTAGGGTGGAAAGTGCCAATTGGCTCAAGATAAAGGAAAAGGGAAGGGGGAGGGAGTTGACCTGAGGGAGAATACCCTGTGTTTCCAAAAACACTAATATCCTAGCGAATTACATATTGATATGCATGTTCCGAAACATGGTACACTTCCGTTCCAAAATAGTAAATTAGTGATCCAAAGCATTCTCAAAAGTTTTTTCCAATATACTTCCTTAAATGTTACTTTAGGAGGAAAAAAAAATCAAATATGATGAACCAAAATCTAAAATGAGTTAAGTTTTGACAAGACAAAAATATTAAAAATGAAAAGGAAAAAAAAAATTTGTTGGATGCCTAATAGTTAAAAGAAAATTATTCTAGAAGTACCTTAAATTCTTAAGTGTAATATATACTAGTCTACCCTTATTGTGTCACGTTTTAAAGTATGTAGTGTATCACATTTCCATTGCCGTTCCATATACCGAAACGATCCACGTTCCAGGTAACATAGAGAATACCTTATATACATAATCCACATTATGTATTATAATTTTATATGTCGAACACCATATGTATCAACTTATGATTATACATATTTAATATTCTAATTTTTCTTTCTCATAAATACCACTCTCTTCCTATAAAGCATGGGTACTCTGAAAATGTTGTCATACTCAGACCGAGGACTGGTACTCGTACCGATAGGGTTGCATGCGTACCGGGTACTCAAAATACATACTGGGTACTTTTTATACATTCTTTGACAGATGGATACTCCATGGATACTTCATGGGTATATTGAGAGAACACCAAGCTATGGGACATTAGTTAGGATACGTTTAATTTATTAGAGAGTTCCTATTTATTTGAAATTGCAAATCCTTTACTTGATGTGCCCGATATGAAAGATGTATTATTCAATGATGAAGTTGATGGAAGTGAAAAAAAACTTCAAGTTATTAAATTTGCTTAGTTTGCTTTTAAAATGAAACTTTGTTTTGTAATTTCTCATATTTAATTGCATTAAAATAGCTTATAAACTTTGTATTGGTATTGGTATTGTTGAACTATGATTTCTCTTTTGATTTTGTAATTTCTCCTTTTAGTTTTGGTATTGAACTTTGATTTGTAGATTGAATCTCAAACTATAAATTATAAAAACTAAAAAATTTATTAACGTACCCCAGCCATACCCGTATCTTATCTTTTTTAGATTTTGCCGTATTGACGTACCCGTATCGTACCCATACCCGTGCTTCATAGCTCTCTTCTCTCTCACCTCTCTAATGTTTCCCCCACCACCCACTACAAATGTTTAGGCCTCACTGCTGCTCACACAGTTACACATCTCACGTACATACGGCTAGAAACCACACCCTCTCCATTTTTGCCTATTTGGAGGTTAAATAACTCAATATTTCTCTCTTCATCACTCTCTCATTTGCTCTCTTTCTTATATATATGTGTGTTGGTTCACTACCACCTACCTATGAAGCACAGATACTTCTAAAAGGGAGATGTATTCGGGTCGGATATTGATACTCTCGGATACGTATCAAAAGTATCGGATACTTCTTAACTAAATTTTCATTAATTCTGACGTATCAGAAATTCCAAATCACATATTACTCGTTTTACAAGATTAAAATTATAGAATTTATTGCATAATATTATAACATATATTAATTGTGAGGATAAATACAATAATATATTTCCAATACTCCCTAACTCTTTACAAGAACATAGTGAATAGAATTTGTCAAATTGTCATATCCTTAGGCCTCGTTTGGCAACTACATGTTTTAGCCAAAAAGCCAAAAGGCACAAAGTCACTATAAGTTGTCACATCACTCTCTCTACTTTGTTGCACACATTTTCATAAAAAGTTAAAAAATTACTAAAATAGCTTGTTCCCAAATGAAGCCTTATTGTATCATGCATGTCCCATATAATTGCATAGAAAGTAAAGATTAACAAGTGATTATAGCAATAGTAGAATTAAATATCAATAAATAAATAAGTAAACTTACATACAACATTTTTTACTAGTGTAAACGGGAAAAGCACATAGACAAATTCATATGGATTAGTCTACTATTGTGATATAAATATAATGGACTTGATATTGAAACAAAATATTTGTAAAACCTATTGAAATTTAAGAAATAAACTAGCTAATGGCTTAAATTAATTCCTAATTCTTAAAATATTAGTATTTTGCATTATAAATGACAGTATAGTTTCTCAACATTCTTGAGTTTATGTGCAACTCACACAACTAATAATTTAAAAAAAAAAATTACAAATGTAACCTAGCCAATGTTTTTAAAGGCTCAAAGCGCACTAAGGCACCGAAGGTCTCTTCGGGCCTAGGCGCAAGGCACAAGGCGAGACGTGGGCTTTATTGGAGTAAGGCGCACAATGTTAGTAAAAAATAGATAAATTAAATTATTCATAGCATGTTAGTACTAAGACAATTTAAAAATAAATAAATAACTAAGGCAAATTATAGAATAATTCTCAAAGCCATAAAAGTGCATATTACATAGCATTCTAATTTTCAAAGGTACAATAATCCACATTCAACCAAAAAAAACCCCATAAACCCCAAACATCCAAAACAGAAATATACAACAAATACTAATATAAGTCTTTAACATTTCAAGAAACTTCAAGAACATAACACAGCATTAAAGAAAGAAAAAATTTTAAAAAAAAATAATATTAAAAAAAACAAAGAAGCAACAATTAAAAAAAAAATAGAAGCAGCAGCGAAGGGGGAGAAGAACCCAACCAACCCAGCAATGAATAAGACGAAGAAAAAAAACAGAGAGCAAGTCGAAGATGTACCCAAAAAAGAGTTGAAGAAGAAGAACCCGGGTAGCGAAGAAGAAGAAGAAGAAGAAGAAGAAGAAGCAAAAGAAGAACTCACCTGGTCCAAAGACGAGACTAGACAAACCGAAGGGAAGAGAAGAGATACCGCAAGATTTCTTCTTTCTTTCAAATTGATTACGGCATTTTGAATCGATTTGAGGCTGGGTATCGAATAGTATAGCATAGAGTTCTAATCCTCTCTGATTGAGGCCTTTCAAAACACAATATCAACCGTTAAATTCAATCAAAAAACAAAAAAAAAAAAAATCGCAAGCAATCGCGCGATTTGCGACTTTGTTTGCCTAGCTAAGTCACGCAAAAGTCGCGCACCTTCTTCAACTCGTCTCACCGTGCGTGGCTTCAAGCGCTTCACCTGCGCCTCCCTGGACTTTTTGGTCCATGTAATTTTTTTTAAAAGGGTAAATTACACTTTTCACAATTGTAATTTGACTCAGCTTCACTTTTGTCCCCCTACTCTTTTAAGTTAAACTTCAATTTGGTCCTTCCGTCCAAATTGCCATCATTTTTTCTATGTACTCACATGATTGAAGCGTGTTAAAAAATCATAAATTTTAATATCAATTTTTTCTATGCGTACTCCTCATGTGATTGGCACACGTTAAAAAAGCATGAATTTTAATGTCCAATTTGAACAAAACAACCAAATTGAAACTAGACTTGAGTTCATGATTAATATTGTTCAAATTGAAACAATAGGGACCAAAGCAAAATCTAGGTCAAACTATAAGGGTGAAAGTTGTAATTTCATTTTCAGTTAAAAACATTCAATCAAAAAACTTCCACTAATATATATATATAGAAAATCATTTCGAGTAAAAACATTTCACAAAAATATACTTTCCTCCACCCCCTTTTCCACTGCCCTCCTCTTTTCCTCCACCTGCACCAGTGCCTTCCCCAACCCCCTTCCCCTTCCCTTTTTCTTTCCTCTACCTTGAACAAATTGGCACTCTCCAAGCTTAATAACAGTTTTTTTTTTGTGGGAGTGATATGGTCCCCGTGGATTCTTTTTTTTTTTTTTTTTTTTTTTGACTTTCTAGTGGAACTTTCAGTCTAATGGCGGTGGTTATGCCGTCATCAGTGGAGTGGGTAGGTTAGAAGAGTTTGGCTCTCAATTAGGCTGCGGGTTGGAGAGTGCCAATTGGTTCAAGGTGGATGAAAGGGAAGGGGGAGGAGATTAGCCCAAGGGGAAGGGGGGTTTACTCAATTTCCGATTGAACAACACAATTCGAGTCATTTTAGTCAAAACTCATATCGAATTGTATGAATCAAATCATGAATCTCATGATTACCTTTCAACATCCCTTTTTTTTTCAAATTTCTTTTTTTATTGAATCATGGGAAACAATTAAGGATCCATTATGACCCTGTTTGGGAAAGGCTATTAATTGGCTTTTTAGGCTAAAATCCATAAAAAGACAAAATAGGCTAAAATAGCCAATAAGACAAAGGGGTTGTTTGGGATGACCTAAATAAGTGCACTTTTTGTCTTTTTACGAAAAGATGTGCAGAAAAGTAGAGAGGTGATGTGATGGAAAAAAGATAAAAAGATGGATTATTTTGGTGTTGCCAAACTTGGCCAAAATGTCACATCAAACCCATAATCATTTCACTTTTTCTCTCACAAAGATCACATCTAATTACAAAAAAATCCATCTTCCCAAATACAAAATTTTTAGCCTACTAAAGTAGCCAAAAACTAAAATAGCCTACTAAAATAGCCAACTTCCCAAACAATGCCTATATTACAAAACTCTTCCACACTAACTAATGTAGTGAAACGAAATGCCATATTCCAAGAAGAAATCTTATCACTAGTACTGTTGTACACATTTTATATAAAGGAATGATTGTCTTCACATTATTGCATTTTCTAAATTGTATTATATTTCCCATTTACTAAAAGGCTTGGTTTAGCATTTCCTAAAAAAGCCAAAATGTCACTATCCTATTTAAGTCACATCATCTTATTTAAGTCATATCACCACTCTACTACATCACTTCAAACTCAATCCATATTTCATAAAAAGTCAAAAAGTGCACTTATTTAGAACATTTCAAACAATATGCTGCACAATATCTTTTTTTTCTCCATTTATTAGGAATATAAACAAATCTTACAAAATATATGATACCAAAAACACACAATTCCAAAAGTCAATTGTCCTTATGTTGCCTTCAGTTCAACATCCCTCCCACTCAATTACACCTCAAAACTCCTCTCCACCTTGCTCTTAAGATACGCAAAGTTTATAATTCCAAAAAATGTATCCCCGCTTTGGCAGTTTCTTTCTTTACAACCAGATTACACCCAGCCTGGTCCTGTCCACCTTGGACTGAGAACGTCCCACTGTGGATTCATACATAGAACTTAACAGGTTTAACTGCAGAATGCCCCTCAAATGACTAACGTCTGATACCCATTTCAACATAGTGTAAATGTATTTTTCAAGAAGAGCATTGCTAAACAAACTATAAAAGCAAATCAACAATATAAAATGAACTATCTATAAATAATTAGCTTGTAATGTGTCTTACAGACGCAACATGTATCAATTAGAGACACCAGCAGCAGGGTTCTTAGAATCAGCTTGATCAGTCAAATCAACAACACCTTCTTCAGCTTCTAAGAAGCGACTCAGATGCTTATCCTGCAAATGTTGCTGAAAGGAAATAAATAAATAAATAAATGAACCTACTTGTATTTGTTGATAACTATGAAGAATAAAACATGAATATCATTAAGAGGAAAGAAGAAAGAAAATGAAGGAAAACAGCAGCATACTTACTAAGAGACAATTTCTGTAATTTTGCCACTCAGAAACACACTCCTGTTTATCCCAATGACCCTTGACAAACTTCTCTGAATACCACCTGTTCATAAAGGGGATTCAGAAAAACAAAAACCCTTTTATGCTTTCCATATACACAAACAAAAAAACCCTTTTTTATACTCAAATTAGAGATACATATATACATATAATTTCACTTATTAATTTACACATTTCACATTGTGATACCTACCAACATAAAAGTGAAACTCCTACTCCTACTTTTTATCAAAGAAAGAAAGAAAAGGAGGAGGGCATGGACCTGTTAAAGCAATTGTGGTAGGCGGCTCTGAGATGGGCACAAGGGGATGTAGTAGATGAAGGGCTTCTCTTCTCTCTGCTAATCCCCATTCCAATTACCAGACACTCCAGACTCAGACTCAGACTCAACACTCGGTGGACTTCACTTGCCTTCTTGGAGTTGCTGTGTGTTTGGATCGGAGCTCATTTTGTCTCATTAGATTCAATCACCCCCACTCTCTATTTCTTGATTAGGCTCAGTTTTCAAGTTATTCCTGATCTAGGTCAAACTTTTTTATTTTTCACCGCCCTGACTCACCCTCCCGTGGTGGGAGAAGTTACTGGTTGGTCCTAGGCCGTGATTGATGGAGGCGGAGTTTATAATTTTAGGGAAAATTATCCCCCATGGAAATATGTGGAGGCTTTTCCCAATATAAGCCTTTTTTACATTGTATTTCCAAAATTAGGTCAATTTAATTCTTTGAGTGAGGTCCCCATTACACTCTACATTAATTTTACTATTTGTACGCTTGCACATTTAGATTTCATTTGTTTTGATATAAAATATTTTTTATTTAAATTATTTATATATAAAAAAAATATTTTATTTTTATTTTTCGGTATTTGATTGAGAGGCTTTTCCCAATATAAGCCTTTTTTACATTGCATTTCCAAAATTAGGCCGACTTCTGACGGAATTTCAAAATTAAGCTAAAGCGCCATTACTATTCGCGCTTTTACTGTTAGGAGCGCAAAAGTAGATGAACAGGAAAATCGCTATTACAAATAGCGACTTTGATTAAGAAGTCGCTGTTACAAATAGCGCTTCTAGGGTTAATTTTTTTCCCAAGGAAAACGCTGTTAAGAACAGCGCTTTTAACCCAAATCCATTTTCCCCAGAAAACGCTATTACAAATAGCGATTTTAACATGAATAAACGCTATTACAAATAGCGATTTTAACAGAATTTTTTTTTTTTCGCCCAGCGTTTTTAACATAAACTTTGTTGGAATAAAAAGCTATTTTCAAGATAAAACAAAAGAAAAAAACATAAAACATATTTTAAAAAATATATTTACACTGTATATTTTAGTACTTGGCTTTACTAAAGCCATTATCATGTTAAAATATGTTTTTTTTTTCTTTTCTTTTGTTTTTGTTTAGAATGTGTAATTCATAAATTTTACATAATATGAAAAAAAAAATCAAATTACAACTGTCCAAATTCGACGGATCTGTTTGGTTTAGTTGGTTTGGACGAATATGAATATCCGCTGCTCATCCCATACAGTAGGTAAGTATATATTATATATATGTGGGTATTTTGATTATTTTATCTGAGCTTGTCCTTATGAACAATGTATTTTAGAGTCTGGACTTTTGGTTAAACAAAATATAAATTTAAATTTATGGACTGAATGCTAGGGGCGGAGCCACGTTGGGCTCATGGGGGTCATGTGCCCCGTGAGTTTTGGGAATTTTTTTTTAACAGAAAAAAAAACATAAAGAAAATATATTAAATAAAAAAATTATTAAAATATTATTTAAAGTGAAATGTCAATGACATTTTTAAAATTATGAGAACAATAATAGTTATTTTGATTGAAAATAAAGAGGCTATAATAAGTCATATTATTATCTACAAAAATTTCAATATAATGGTGATATCTATCATTATTGACATATAAACATAATTAATTTCAATGAAAATATAGAATTTATTGAATTGTTAGTTACATTTGACATGTAGAGTTTATCCTTCATGTGTTTCTTTCCATTCATAACTAAAATGACCACTATATAAATTATAATCAAGCAACACATTTTCAATTATAAAAATAAAAAAAATTAAAAAAATTACAATAGGTCATAACTAATATCAGAATGAGTCATAACAAACTATTACTTGATATATAGTCATAACTAAAATAACAACCATAAGAAGTTATAACTACATTATATCTAACACTATAATGTGTTATAATTAAAAACCATGAGACATATGATAGATACTTTTTTTTGCGGTATGTTTTATAGAATTTCTCTACTAAAATATATCATTTATGTCTACACGTATCTTCTTTTTTAATTTTCCAATCCACCTATAAAATAGTTACTCTCCAAATGAACTCTTAACATTTAAGTTTAGTAATATTTCATTGTTGTTTATTATGGAAAAAAAAAAAATCAGTGTATTTAGTTTGAATTTTTTGGATTAAATTTTTTGAAAATTGAGTTTTTTGATTTTCGTGTTTTTATGTTTTTAGTGAATATTTTTAAAATTTTAAACATTTTTTTTACTTTTTAGATGCAGCTTACTTTGATGTATCTAAAAAGTAAAAAATTTGTGAAAAAATATTTTAAAAAATTAATAAATACATAAAAATACAAAAAATATACTGAATTCTTGTTTTTTTTTTTATATTTTGGTATTTAGTGAATTTTTAAAAGATTTTTTTTACAAAAATTATACTTTATATGTGTATTTATGTTAAGCATGTTTAAAAATTTTTTAAAAATATTTAAAATATTAAAAAAAATTCAATAAAAAAACGAAAACAAAGAAAATAAAATTTTCTAAAAATATTTTTAGAAAATTAAAAACAAGCAAAGTGAAGTGATTATTATTTTAAAAACAAATTTATGACTGCCCCTCCTTTTGGGCCATTTCCCTAAATAAGCCAAATTATCAAATCAATTCCCAAACTAGGCCTAATTTTGAAAGAATTTCCAAAATAGGCTAAAACGTGGTTCAGAACCATACTTTCACGTTTGTGCGTCTGTCCCGCGTGAGAATTGGGAAGTCTTAAAAGCGTGGTTACAAAATGCGCTTTTAATTAAGAAAGCGCGGTTACAAAAGGCGCTTTTAATTTAATTTTTTTTTTCTTCTGAAATCGCTGTTCTGAACCACGCTTTTAACTTACAATTTTTTTGTTTTGAAAGCGCGGTTGTGAACCGCGCTTTTAACCAAAAAAATTTTCTTCTGGAAAGCGTGGTTATTTAGCTTAATTTTTTTTTTCTTCTAAAAACATGGTTATGAACCACGCTTTTTGGCAAATTTTTTTTTTCTTCTGAAAGCGTGTTTGTGAACTACGCTTTTTATATAATTTTTGTTCTTTAAGTGAAAGCATGGTTTGTAACAACGCTTTTAAAATTTATATAAAATCTCCCCAGCCCCGTCTTTTGCAATCACACTTGTTACACTTAACACCTTTCACTCTCGCTGCCTGCTCTCTCTCTCGCTCCTTGCTCTCTCTCTCTCGCTCATACTACTCTCTCTCGCTCTTTCTGCTCTCTCTCTGTCGCAATGCTCGAGCTCCCTCTGCTTCAGTACTGTCGCTCTCTGTGCTCTCTCTCGTTGGTATGGCTTCTGTCTCTCTCTGTTGATCTACTTTAATGCGTTTTTTGCGTTTGAGAAAATGTGAATGTGGGTATAATGTTGGTAGAATAGGGTTCATGAATGTGAAAATGTTGTGAAATCAGAAATAATAAATTAGGGTTAGGGTTTATAATTGTGAAATCATAAATTACGATTACGGTTTGAGAAATTAGGGTTTTGAATTGTGAAATCTGTTCAAAAATTTGTGAAATATGTTTAGAAATGTGAAATCTGTTTATAATTGTAAAATCTGTTGAATGTGAAATCAGATTTTTGTTCAATGTGACATCTGTTGAATGTGAAATCTGTTGAATGTTGAATCTGTTTAGAAAATTTTAAATATTATGTTTGAAATGAGAAAATGAGGGTTATGGTTTTCTATTGAATGTGAAATCAGAAATAAGGGTTTTGGTTTTGAATTAGGGTTTTGAATTGATGAATTTGAAACCATTTTTCAATTAGGGTTAGGGTTTTAAATTGTGAAATCAGAAATGAGGGTTATGGTTTCAGAAATTAGTGTTTAAGAAATTTATGATAAGTTAAATTTTTTTGATAATGTTATATGATTTTTTTTAGGAACAAATAATTTTTAGGAACAAATAATTATCTATAATAATAATAATTTTCTTGTATATTATTATCGTAACTAACTTTATAATTTCTTGGAAAAAAACATGGCAAAACACAAGAAAATCTAATTTTGTCTATATAAAAATTATCTATAATTAAAATTTCAAAAGTTTCTATCTCTTTCTTTCAAAATTTCCAAATTATAAGAATTTTTAGTCAAAATTTTGAAATATATATATATATATATATATAAGTATATAAGAAAGAAAGAAAGAAAGAAAGAAAGAAAGAAAGAAAGAAAGAAAAAAAAAAAAAAACAGACCGGTCCGACCCTCCTAACCCGATCTGGGTCACCGGTTTTCACTGATTTTGCTCCCACTCCGAGTTTAGGGGATTGACCGGATCAGAACAAGGCCCAGTTCCCGGTCCGAAGGCCGGTCCGGTTCGGGTTTGAAAATATTGGCGGTAAGTGCTACATGAATCAATTAATGTATTAATATTAGTTATAATATTACTATTGACCCTACTTATTAATAACATTACAAATATTAAAAATATCTTAAATTATAATTATATCATATAATCAATTGATACATTAATTAATATACTAATTGATACATATAATATTATTTATTTTATATTGAGTAGTTGGAGAATATAAGGGATATAACAGTTTATGATCAGTGAAAAGCACTATCATGTGACGCTTCAGGGGCACAAAATAATTTTTTGAGGCATTTCCCTAAATAAGCCAAAATAATAAAGGAATTCCTAAACTAAGCCTAGTTTTGAAAGAATGCCCAAAATAAGCTAACTCGCGGTTCACAATCGCGAGTTCAACACTTTTCCACCCCTGTCGCGCGAAACCTGCCAAATTTGAAACTCACTGTTACGAAAAGCGAGTTTGATTAAGAACTCACGGTTACGAAACGCGAGTTTAATTAAATTTTTTTCCTTTGAACTCGCTTTTTACAAGAACGATTTTCCACTCTTTTGGAAACTAAAATGATTAGTCTCCAATAATTGAATATCACTTCAGCGACTACTAAAAGTTCGGTAGCTTAAAGTATAGTATTAGCAACCAAAAAAATTTTAGTCGGCAATACTATCGCTGACAGTGTATTGGCGACTATCTAGGCGACAAAAAATAATAGTCGTTATTGACCTTTGGCGACTAAATACGGGGATTTAGCAACTAATAGTTTAGTCGCTGAATGTGCAATTTGTTGTAGTGCAAACATGTGGACTCATTGCTTTTACTGTCGAGTTTGCAAGACTAGAAGGTAATATCTATGAAGGTTCTATTTCTGCTAATACTACTGGGCTTAACAGTGTGGATAAAAATCACTCTAGTGATGCTCTACCTCTTGGAATCATCAGAAATACCAAAGAAGCTAAACCCATATGTGGTTCGAACTGTTCTTTACAAAAACC